GTGGCAGGAAGCCCCTAGGCAGCCCCTCTGCCGTCTCTCTCATTCGAAAGTGAGGCGGAGGACCGGATCATGTTCCTGTGGAGTGCCTCCTGCTCTGAGACCCTGGCCCGAGCAGGCGGGCAGGGCACCTTTTACCTGAGGAGTTGGGTGGCTGGCTGGCTGCTCGGGTACCCGGAGATGGAGAGGTGCTGGGCTCTTCCTAAAATGGGAGAAAAGCTTGGCCGTCAGTCTGCTTATGAAGGCTGTTGGGCTGTGACCAGGGCCATCTAGAAAACCCTAGGTTTTTTCTTAGGGAACATGTTACTTTTATAATCGGCAAAATAATGAGTATTATTAACAAATGAGCCCTAACCGGTTTGGCTCAGTGGATAGAGCGTCGGTCTGCGGACTGAAGGGTCCCAGGTTCTATTCTGGTCAGGGGCATGTACCTTGGTTGCGGGCACATCCCCAGTAGGGGGTGTGCAGGAGGCAGCTGATCGATGTTTCTCTCTCATCGACGTTTCTAGCTATCCCTCTCCCTTCCTCTCTGTAAAAAATCAATAAAATATATTTAAAAAACCAAAAAAAACTAAATGAAACCCCAAGTCCGGGTGGGAGGTGGTCTGGCCCATGGAATCAGGGAAGGAGAGGGCTGCAGGGAGACACAGGCTCCTGCCTAGTGGGACAGACTCTATGGCTGCACCAACCTGATGCAGCCCGCCAAGGGCCCGACCCTCTGCACAACAGCGGCCTGAGCTCCTGGGTGTGCCCGCCACTCCGGGCCCAGGAGCAGCTTCTGCCTTGCTGTCCACTGTGAGGGGAGTAGCCAGGTGGGACCCACCTAAGGGACCGCTGCTCTTTGGGCGGCTCCGCCTCTGATGGCTGATGTGAGGACCAGATGTCTGGGTGACCTAGAGGGTGCTGTGGCCACCCACAGCCCACTTCCCAGGGACCAGGCTGGGGGAGGCTGTGGGATGCTTCACTTGTCCTTCACCAGAGAGGTGGTTCTGAGGATCTATCCTAAGGTATCTCTGTCCCCATCAGCCCACAAGTTCATGAACATTGCTGCCAAAATGTGTTCTAAACGCTAGGTCTGTCCCTCACCCCTCTGTGGAAAGTCTCTGAGTCACCTGGTGGGAGGTGGAGGCAGCGTGATAGGTGGGTGGGCAGAGCCGCCTCCCGGGCCCTCGGCCTATAGTGCTTTTGCCGACGCTGCTCCCTGCGCTGCGTTCTCTGCTCTGGTCTCGGCCTTGAGGCTCAGGGCAAACGGCGCTTCTCGTGGGCGCCCCAGGGGGGCTTTCGGGGCTCCTCCTTCAGCTCCCAGGGCCCCTGGTGCTCCTTTTCTCTCTACCCTCAGTATTTCCTGTGTCCCCTCCCTCGAGGGCAGAGGCCACATCCTGTCCATCTCTGGAGCCCCAGCACGTGCATGGCCTGGCCCACGGCAGAGCTTCTCTGCCAGTCGCACAGCTGGTGCGGCTGCCTGGCTGGCGTGCCACAGGGCTGTGGGTGGGACTGGTCGTTAGAGCCTAACTGGCTGGTGCCGTGCCGTGGGGATGACAGTGAGTGCTCCGAGGCCCTCCCGTCCTCCTCCTGTCCCCCTGCCCATCGCTCCTGCAGGTCACCTGGGAACGTACCTATCATGTGCACCAAGTGCACCGCATGCCCCAAGGCCTGGCGTGGGGCCAGAGAGCCTTCCCGGGTATTCACGCAGGTGGGGGTGTGAGGGGCGCTTGCTCACCGTTTGGCTTTCGTCTTCCTTTTTATCAGCCGGCTTGTCTGTCTGGGAGGCTGCTTTTCTCCTAACACAGAGCAAGAAGCAGCAAGTCAGCTCTGGGAGGTTCCGCACCCACCCAGACGCCTCTGTGTGGACACACCTGGTCCTCAGAGGATCCCGTGGTGGGATCGGACCCATTCCGAAGCCCCTTCTGGTCTGTGGCGAAGTGTCCAGATCTTCTGTGCTGGTCCCATGACCCTGGACACGAAACTGGCCTGGCCACATGGGACGGGAGAGGAGCCCGTCTAGGCCATGGGAACATTTCGTCTGCGGGCCACTGCCTGGTGAGCAGACCCCCTTGCAGGAGGAAGGAGGGACCCTTTTTGTTCTACCCAGCATGGACCACCACTGAGAACGGACATGCTCAGGAAAGGAAAGACTCTGAATAGCCGAGCCGATGCCTCTAGACAACTCATGCATTTCCCACGAACTTCAAAATCTCACCTAAGTGGCTGCCAATATGTGAGATGGGAAAAGGCAGCTTTGAAATAACGCCCGACTCCCAAATCTACACACGTAGACCTTCGATATTCCCCAAGACCTGCCGTTGGGACCTTCAGCTCTGTGAAGCCGCCAGTGCACACAACTCTTAGATCTGGGGGGTGAGCAACCCACCAAGAAGGAAGCTGACGCCCGGCCAGTGTGGCGGTCATGGTTCAATTCCCGGTTGGGGCACATGGCCGGGTTGCGGGCTTGATCCCCAGCAGGGGGCATGCAGGAAGCAGCCGAGCAATAATTCTCTCTCATCATTGATGTTTCTCTCTCTCTCCCGCTCACTTCCTCTCTGAAATCAATAAAAAAATATATTTTAAAAATGAGAAAAAAGGAAGCCAGCCCCGCAAGTGGTGAGGGGCTGCAGGTTGGCCGTCACCAGTCGGGTGACGGAGCCCACACAGTCGGCTCCTCAGCCACACAGGGCTCCTTCTTCAGCCGTCTCGTCTCAGGGAGCAGGTCCACCCACCTATCGCTCCTCAGACACCATCTTCCTCCCCACACAGCCAGGCAGGTCGCTTCTCCCCCTGCTTTATTTCGAATCTGCGTTTCCCCGTCTCACTTTGGACAATTGGTGCAAGCCACCATCATCGCTTCCTGGACGACGGTGGTGTGCTCCCTGGCCTACCTGCTGTCACTCTGCTCCCACCCAAAGCAGGCCAGGCCACCCCAGCCCGGTGGCGCTGCAGGGAGGGCGCAGAGGGAGGAGGCAGTCGGCCATTACCTGCATGAAGAAGTGGACTCAGCCACATCCACCTCTTGGTGGACGTCAAAGAGCAACTCAAGTAATCCCACCGAGTTGTGCAAATGTTTGTTCTCGGTAGAGCCCACCAGCATCTGGCGTCCCACCCGCTCTTGGCAATGCGCCTTTTCCGGTTCTCAGGAACTTCCTCTCTTTGGTCTAGGGGCCATCTAGGCCAAGCTGTCATTGTTAACGTGTTGGTTTTGGACTCAGGGCAAGAGTGAATGTTTTCTTTTTGAAAAACACCTTGTTTTTCCAGGAGGCCCCGTTCACCTCTCTGAGATAGAATCCAACGCACCTGCGAGGAGGCTGTGTTCTCCACTCCCAGGGCTCAGGGTGCGGCTCAGCCTTCCCAGGCACTGACCCCTCCACCCTCTGCTCTTGTTTTGCCTGGATTGCTGTTCTCTCCCACCTCAGCCCCAGAAGTGTTCTTGTCCTTCAAGGCCCAGCACGTGTGGAACCTCCTCTGAGAAGCCCTCCCGGCTCTCTCCCCCACGGAGCTGTTCCCACCATGGTGCAGCCGCGGTCACCCTGCACCTGGTCACTGTCTGTCCCCTCTTGGTTTCCTCTATATGCTCAGGCCCCGCTGCAGGCTCGGGAGGCCTTGGGCAGGAAGTGCTGGCTCTGCCCCAGCTGAGAAGCGACAGACCAGCTACCTGCACGCTGGGGCCTCTGCTTCCACCCTCACAGAGCCGAGCAGATTTAAGAGGTGAAACAGGACACGAAGACCCCGGGCACACAGAGAGCTCGCACTCAGCTGACTTGGAGGGCAGAGGGAAGAGCCCGGAGGGTGAGAGCAGGCAGGAGGGCTCCCGGCTGGAGCAAGGTCCCGGCCCTGGCTTTTCTTGGACCACAGGGGGCATCCGACAGGTGAGCCATGACACCGGGACCTGTCAGGGCATTCCTGCCGCCACGCCACATTAACGAGTAAAATCAAGTTTTGCAACCCTTCCGAGGAACTGTGTGATCTCTCCACCTGCTCAGGTTTCCTCTGGGGAACAACTAAGAGCCGGTGACAGGCTAGTGGCCTTGGGCAAGCTGGAGCCACACCTGCGGGTGTGGGCAGAGACATGGCTGGCAGGCCGCAGGGCCCAACAGGACACGGATGGAACTGTTCCTCCACCTCAGGGTGACGTCCTTTGGGCTCTGGCCACCTCACAGTCCCCTTTCCTGTGTCCTCCATCACAGCCCTCACGTGGGGCAGCCACACCGCCCAGCCCTGGCCCACACCTTGTTTGTATTGGGATCCTAAGTGCAGGGAATACTCTTCATTTCCCTCTGAAACTATTGCCCAGTTTCTCCCTTCTCAGGATGGCTGTACTTGAAAGATGCTTCAATACTTGTTACACTGAAGTTCACGGACCCCTTTCGGCCTGACGCCTCAGACTGACCCCAGGAGAAGAGGAAACTTAAGGGTTGTCCGCCTGGCTGAGCCCAGGTGACAAGGCGTCCTGGGCTCAGGCAAGGGCTCTCCTTCGGTGCTGGGGCCGCTGAGGTGCGCAAATACCCCGAACGCCCTAAAACCCCTAAACCCCTACCTCTTGGCCAGCAGCTTGTTCATCTCTTCCATGAGGCCTCCTCCTCCGCCCCCACTGCTCGCCCGATTGGCGTCAGACTTGGAGGTCCCGCTGGGACTGGAGCCTCCGGAGGCATCTTCGGGCTGCGGGGAAGGACCAGCGTTTAGTCTGCTGTCGTGGTGGACGTCACTCGAGGGGATCATGGGGACGTGTGTGAGTGTGGACGTGTGATTCCCACGATGGCAGCGCAGAAGAGGCCCGAGGGGTCGAGTCCCATCCCCCCGACCCACAGGTGACAGAGAGGGACCAGGCCTGGCCGGTCACAGTGGATGCTCTCCTGGCGCCCAGCGTGACCCGAGGGGAGGAGACAATCCTTGGGATGGAAGCCGGCCTCCCATCAGAGGTGTCCGAGCCCCGGCCTTGGTCCAGGAGCTCTGCCTTCCAGCAGTGGGCGGAAGGAAGGGCTCAGGAAGTAAGGCTGGGCCTGAGGGGGCTGGTTTCCATGAGAAGCACTGATGGAGGGATGGACCCGGGGCCCAAGTCCTAACTGCGCCTGATGAGGGAACCACTTCCTGCCCTGCTGTGAAGGTCACCGTGAGGATCACAGCAGGTTACAAAGCTGCAAGCGGCTCCTGGTCTACCCAGTGCCGTCCTGTCCGGTTCTCACTGAAAACAGCCGGCAGAGGTGGTGTCCAGATTGGGGAGGGCGGGGCTTTGCTCGGGGTGTCGGGGACAGGGGAAGGCTCCGTCCATTCGGCAGTTAGAAACTGGCCCCCAGCCCATCCGGCCTGTGCTCAGGGACGCTTACCCGCTGGACCCTCCTCAGCTTGGCCCCCGCCAGGGCAGCAGCCAGTCCTGACACGGAGCTCTCGTCGTGGCTGGCGCCCTGGGCTCCTCCGGCTGGCAGTGGGGGTGGGGGAGGGGGAGTGGCCCCTGTGGGTGGCGGTGGGACAGGGGGCGGGGGCGGGGGTGGAGGCCCACTACACGAGAGGGGGGCGCTGACTGCAGATGAGGGGTGCCCCGGTGGGAGGGTGGGTCCTGAAACACAACAGAGGGGCTCAGTTAGTCCCTAGCCCTCACTGTGCTTCCTGGGAAGGAGGAGGGACAGGTCAGCCTGCTGCTCTGAGGGAGCAGGGACAGCTCAGGCTGCCTCTTCCATCCCCTTGGGGTGAGCTTGGCCCTGCTCCGGTCACTCCCTATGCCAGTCCCCTGGCTGGACCCACAGTGTCTAATATCCCTTGAGCTCAGCTACCTTTGTCCTGCTCTAATGGTGGGTCTCCAGGGGGAGGAAGGTCTTTGGTGGCTCAGACTGTACCCTTTTCTCCTGTGTCCCTTCTCTGTGCCTTGCACCGCCCCAGGCACTAGCAGACACTGGTCCCTGAGATGCGATTGTGAGTGACCCTTGGCCTCATGTCAGGGAGCAATGCTGAGTGCTGGTCGGTCCCCTGTCCCTATCTCCCCTCAACATCCAGCACCAGAGGCTGATGGGAGGAGCCACCAAGGTGAGCTAACCGCCCACTCTCTTCTGTTCTCTGGGTCCCCCACTGTCATCGAAGGTGACTGGCACACTGAGACCTACGTAGCTCTTCACAGAGGCCCGATGCGCACGGCACCGCCTCGGTGGGGGGCTGCCACCGAGCAGTATGGGGAGCAGGCCTGCAGGCTCTCACCTGTGGCTGAGGTTCTTCTCTCTAGAGACTCCTGGCGCTGCTGCTCCATCACTTGTCTGAAAAGCAAAAGAACCAGGGGATCCATGGAGCACAGGCTGCAAGGCTGGGTTTTGCCGGCTCTTCCCGAGGACCCACTGTGCGCCCTGGGCTGGGGGGGCGCCTCACAGTGAGCTTCCCTCATCCCCTCCCTGGCTCTGATGGCCACTGGGCTTGCCTCCCCCACTTAACAGAGGTGGGGCACGTGACTGGTCCATGATCTCCAAACAGGTGGGTGCCGGCAGCCTCCTGAGTCTCAGGCACCCCTAAACAGGGAGCCCCCCACGAAGGCTCGGGCGCCATGTGGACGAGTGGCCACACTTTCCTCTAGGCTGGATGGGACCCCTGGCTTCTGTGCCTGTGGCCTCAGCTGACCCGACCTCAAATGTCCTGTCCCCACAGCACCTGGCTAAGACCCGGAACAATTCCCAGGCACTGGGGGTTGTCAGAAGCGGACACTCCGCGGGCACGTGCTCATTCTTTTCAGCACAGATGTAGCCGCAGGCCTGGCCTCCGCGGCAAAGCCATGTGGTGCGGGCCGTGCAGGCTGTGAGCCTCGCGGGGAACCCACACCGAGCTCCTGACGGCAGAGCACTTCGGGCACTCTCACAGGCCGGTCGAGTGAGGACACTGACCCACAAACACGTCCGCAGAATCTGGGACGGTGGCGCTGGAGCAGGAGGGGGCTCAGGAATCATGTGGACCAGGGACGGCAGCAGCCTCACCGGTGTGTGCCCACCCTAAATGCCTGCTGTGCAGCAGGGGGCAGGGCGCTTTGATGCCCACCTGGCTCAGGGGAGGCTGAACTGGAGGCCAGCAGTGTGTCTGCATGGCAGGGGGGCTGTGGGCCGTGAGTCTGTGCCCTGTGCACAGCGAGCTGGCCTTTCTCTGGTGCCTGGCACCGGGTCCCACACTCAGTAAGTGCAGCTGCTCACATCTTAGAGGAAGGTCACAGTTTACTGCAAAGACCATTCAGAGGGAGGGAACTTTCTGGTTCCCATTCTGGGGTTCCTGGCTTTGTGGGCCTCTGATTCTTCTCTATAAAATAAGCATACTATCACCTGTTCTAGGGAGTTCTTTTAAGAGTTATACCTGGTACCTAAAAAATAACAGAAAAGACTCTTTGGCATTAAAGGTGTCTGAACAACTCCCAGCAGCAGCTCCATTAGCCTCTCCTTCTAAACTGCCGAGACCACCCCACACTCCACCCTGCCCAGCAGAATTCATACTTAGGAGCCCTCAGTAAAATGAGGTGTTTGGAAGTATTTACAAATCGGGTTGCGCTTATCACAGCTCACGGTGCAGGCTCCGCTCCGTCAGCCACCTCTCCCTGTGTGTGAAGTGTCAAGCACCAGCAGGGCCCCTGCTCTGTAGTTTGCCTCCTGCTGTTCACAGACTGACTTCCAGGGGCGCTCCGGCCTGCGGACAGTTGACTGCTGGCAACACTGACTGCAGCCAGTGGCCTCCCACGCCTTGGACTTGGGTGGTGGGTTAGGACAATGCAGCGTGGTGATGTTCCACCGGTTCTGAGAGCCAAGGGAGGGTCTGTTTAGGCCCACATGCCCCAGTGCATTCTCTCGCTGTCTGGTAGGGCTCACTCCTGCCCTCTGGGACCTGGCGGGCGGCTGAGCTGGGCTGGACCAGGTACTTGGTTCTGCCTCTAACTCCTGCCTCCTTTGGGCAAGCCCTCCCATTGCCCTGAGGGCAGTGGGGGGTACAATGGGGCAGAGCCCTTGTGAACAGTTGCTGTTTTCCTGAGAGGCCAGAAGACAGGCCTGAGGAGTCGGTCAACATGGGAGTTAGTGCAAAGGAGTCTGTCCAGGGAGCGTTCCCTCCCCCACTCATTGCTTGACCTGAGCAGAGCGAGGACTAAACTAACACTGTCATCCTCACAGCACAAAGGACCTGGAGGGTATTGTGCTTAGTGAATACGTCAAATACCATGATTTCACTTATATGCGGAATCTAACAAAAACATACACGAACAAACAAATTAAAACAGACTTACAGACACAGAGGACTGATGATGATGCCAGAGGGGAGCGGGCTGGGGACTGTGAGAAAGGTGAAGGGACCGAGAAGTGCAGCTCGGTAGTTAAGAACAGTCACGGGAATGTAGAGCACAGCACAGGGAGCACAGGCAGTCACACTGCAGTAACTGTATGCTGCCAGGTGGGTTCTGGGAATACGGAGGGGACCACTTTGTAAATTACACGATTGCCTAACCACTATGCGGTACATGAAACTAATACAAAATACTGATGTAAACTTTAACTTAAAAATAAAATAAAAATAGACGCAAAAAAAGAATGAAAACAAAAATAAAAACAAAAATAAAAAAATCCCTGTCATATTCAAATGGGAAACTAAGGCCTGGGAACTGCCGAGGGTCCTAAGTACACGTCAGAGCAGCGCGCTCAGAGATCCTTCTCTCCAGGGGGAGGAAGAGGCTGGAGAGAACACCCCGAGGGAGCCTCAGGCCAGGCGAGGCTGACACATCCCTCCCACCCCAGCCTGGGGCCGACTGGCATCTAGCCACAGCCCTTGGGGTCCTGGACTTTCCCAGAAGCTGGGGAGCATGGTGGGGACCAGGCCTACCTCCTGGCGCAGCTCCCACAAGTGGGATGCAAAGCCTCACAGAGAGGCAGAGCCCCGCAGGGCATGGCCGCCCAGGTTCAAGCCCTGGCCCTGCCTTTCCTGGCAACGTGACCTGGGAGGCCACGCCCTCCTTGGCCACCAGGACCTCTGCTGTAACGTCAGGACAACATCACTGCCCTTCCTCCCAGTTCGCACACTGTAGGAGCAGCTCAGAGCGGGTGGGGTGCCATCCTAGGGCCCGTGCCCCCTAGGAGCTGCCTCCTCCACAGGCTGGCTGCACAAGGACATCGCCGCTGCGCTGGCCCTGGCTCACACAGCGCTCTCATGGCCTCCGCCACTTTAACCTTCCCGGGAGCTGAGTGGGCAGGGGGCTGAGGTCCTCCAGAGAGGCCGTGGCCTGCCCAAGGCCTCCAGTGGAGGGGGGTAGGGCCAGGTCTCACGAGGCCTTCAGACAGAGTGAGGGGAGACGGCACAGGACGGTGCCAAGGCCAGGGCCTCAGTCAGACAGACCCGGGGAGCCTTGGCCACGTGACCCAATCCCTTCCCGTCATGCCAACTACCTTCTCATACACCTAGAAGGCGTGTTAGCTAAGAGCACAGCCCGCAGGGCACTGCCTGGTTCACGAGGGCTGCGACGGGAGGCCTGGGGCTCTCTGTGAAACCACGGCGCTCACCCCCCTGGCAAAGCAGCAATGGCCTGGCTCCCTCTTCCTCTCTGCTCAGGCCTGCTCCCTGTCCCGGCGGGTGGCTCTCGGAGTCCTGGCCCTAGCTGTGGCGTGTCCTGCGCTGGCTGAACGGTGCCCTGGCCACCAGGCTGGGCCCTGCTAGGGGGGCGTTACCTTCTCTGGATGTCCATCTCATCAGGAGAGGGGCCATTCTGCACCTGCCGCTGGGTGGACGGGCCTGTGGGGCAGAGAAGCACAGAGTACGGTGGTTAGTGGAGAAGAAAGGCCCCGGCAAACACACCTGGACCTGTCTTTGTCCTGGTCGGTCCCATGAGGCGTCCTTGACCTTTCGACAGGGGTTCTGACACCTGTGTAATAGCCGGCCCCCTCTCAGCCTCTCAGTCACCTCTCTCACCCTTCCTGTGGCTCTTCCGTCAGAGCCAATAAGTGGGATGGCGTTTTCACATGGTGCAGATCACCCCTTCTGGCTACCGACGCCTCTCTAACCACATTTGCCGTTTCCACTTCCTCACTTGCCACTGTCCCCCGAAGCCACTGTAACTAAAATCGCCAGTGCACTTACTTGGCGTCATCAAACCCCGAAGACCCATTTCTTCCGACTTTTGAGCAAAGGAACAGCCCTAGAGCAGGTAAGTGTCAGAGCCAGGGTTAGCCCTGGGCTGCCTGCACCTCTGGGTCTGCAGCTGTGGGGTAGGAGTGGCCGGTGGAGGCAGAGCTGTCACTGTGGAGCCTCCCAGGCCACATCCTTGCCCTGGACCCTGAGGCACGGCCTGGAGCAGGGGGAGGCCTGAGCATGACCCGTGTCCACACAGGGCTGATGCTGTCACATTTATAAGAAAAGCCAGGCTTCTGCCCCGACCCAAGAAAGAGCTGATTGTTCCTTCCCTTTGCCAGCTCAGGTGTCACGGGAAGTGTGGAGTCTCAGCGAGGGGGCGGGGCTCGAGCGGGTCTCTCTCTTGCTGACTAGGTGGGGCAGGGGCTTGTCTCCTCCCCAGGAGGAGGTGACAGCATCAGCCTGCGACAAAACCCACCCGGTGCAGAAGGCCTCTGGAGGGGCTTCAGGCAGAGGAGGGGTGAGTGGGCTGTGCCCTGGATCAAGGCCCGGTGGGGTAGGGTGACAGGATCTCAGAGCTGAAACGGACCCTCTGATTGCGGGCAGCCTCCTGCCCAGCCCAGGAACCCCGTGTGCCTCCCGGGCAGGTACTCGGGTGCACCCCACTGCCTCCCAGGGGAGCAAGGGCTTTCTTACTCTGAGGTGCCAAACCCACCCACCCTCGAAGGCCCTATTTCCTCCACCATGTGGCGCAACATGGTCTGAATGCTTTTCTCTGCTTGACAGCCCTTTCCAGACTCTCTATTAGCTTCCATATCTGACAGTTTCAGACTTTGCTGTCTGGGGCCCCGGCATCTATCTGCTTCTGGCATGGTTTCCCTGAGCCATGCTTTGTGGCTTGCCCGCCCTGCGATGGTGGGTGGGGGCCAAGCTGGGTGGGAGGAGGAGAGGCCGCCCAGCACTCGAGGAAAACTCCGTGGTGGACCTGCCAGGCCTGCTCTGGGGGCAGCAGGGGAGAGGCCTGCGGATTTCTTTAGAGGTGACTAATGATGTCTGGCGTGGTGGCCTGGCTGTAGTAGGAAATAAGTGTTATGTTCTTTCTCTGTCTCTAAATACTTTTTTCCCCTTTATTTAACACATAATTATGTGCTCTAAAACATTTATTTTCCTGACTATAAATAACATGTAATATATGTTCAGTCTAACAGACATTAGAAAATTTGAAAAGTTTAACAAAGAAAAGAAACATTCTCAATTAAAAAGATCCGGAGGGACAAGCTCTTCCCTTGCCCAGCGGGCCAGGCTCAGGTCCCGGGAGCCTCCCTGGTCATCAGGAACATGAGAGCACCAATGACAGCGGCAGCAGCTCTCCTCAACGCCCTGATTCTAACTCCCAGCCCTACCCGACAGAGCCGCTTGTACCAGGCGAGGAAACAGCCCAGAAAGGGGGAGTGACTCGCTCAGGGCCTCATAGACCGCAGGCAGTGAAGCCAGACTCAAACTACGTGCCAAACACACTTTCTTTCTTAAACTCAACCACACTGCGGGTTCGGATGGAGACCGGCTTGAGGAGGAGGAACACAGGAGAAGGGGTAGCTGGCCCGCTGCCAAAGAGCAGGACCACAGGGTCACAGCCTCAGGGGTGCACAGCCTCTGCCTGGTGTCCACGCAGCAGACAGGGGTCCCCCAGCTCTGACCCACCCACATCCTGGCCGAGGCAGGAGGGAGGGCGTCCTAGCCCTGGTCTCTGCTGCTGAGCCCACGGCCTGAATCTGGAGGCTGCCCTTCTGGAGGCTGAGGCCCTGTCCCGGAGACCCTGTCTAGCGCCTGGAGCCCACCCCCTAGGACGGAGGTCTCACACCCGGGCAATACTAGCTGCTTGAAGGTCTCTGCGTCTGCTGCACTGGCCTGGTCACACCCCTTTGTCAGGACCCCAGATGGCAGCCAGCTGTCCACACAGTGGTCTGTGCTGATCCTGTGCTTGGGTCCCTCATCGGCCTGTAGAGCTCGGCTCCTCCCAGCCCCCCGCCAGCCTGTCCTCCAGAGGTGGGGGATCTAACAGGGGCTCTCGCTGTCCCCAGGGGCTCTGGCCCCTGTACTTGAGACATGCTTTAAAATTAGACAGCTGGCATCTTAGCACAGAGGGAAGAGACAACACTGGGTTGCATAAGGCCTTCCATGAATTCTGTTCAAACTAAGAAATGTTAGTCTGCTTTGAGCTCTGAGTGTCCTGAACATTGGTATAGTCCCTCCCTGTGGAAGGGTCTGCCCAGTGGCCCACGGTACCTGTAGCAGACGGCCTCCTGGCTGATTCCCCCCACTGGCCTGGCTGCCCCCTGGCAGAGGCAGGGTGGAGAGACTGGGAGAAGGATTGCTCCCTCAGAACTGTCTGGGATCCCTTGGGAAATTGCTGGTACAGACATTTGTAAGTGCTTCCCCAGTGAGAAAATCTCAGGGTGGGGCACTGGGTGACTGGTGGCCACTTCCCTGTCCCGGTGTTGAGTCACCTGCATGATTCCCTGGTGGAGCATCGGAAGCCAGGGAGGAGGCCACAGGCTCCTGTGTCACGGAGTCACCTCTAGTCACGTCCCACCTCCAGGATCCAGGCGAGGGAGCGGGTGGGACTCAGCTCCTCCTCCTCCCACATCTCGTTAGTTACCGAGTCCCACAGCTGCTGTGTCTGAGACCCCGACAGAGTCCATCGCCATGTGGCTGCCTCAGCATCTGCCTCCTGTAATGCCTCGCTCTACCTCGGGAGCCTTCTCCACCTTCCCTCCTCCTGTCTGCTCTCCACACTGACAGTGCAGACTACGCTCTGGAAACACAAGCCTGACCTTTACGGGGTTCAGTCCGAGCTCCATCGAACAAGATTCCAGCCCACCCTGCAGCCACTTCTCCTGGGCCCGCCTCCGCACAGACCTGCCTCTCTCCCTAAGCCCACCAAATGCCCGCTCCCCAGCTGGACCCCCCACCCTGGAGGGACACAGAGTGAGTGGTGGTGGCTCTGAGAGGTGAGGGGGCTGGCCCAGTGCCATGGGGCTCATGATGCTGGCCTTGGTGTCATGAGCCTGCTGAATCTGGGAGCTGACTGAAGTCGGGGGAAACAACACTGGGGGAGTGGGTCGCTGGGCCAGACTCCATCCATAAGCCCACATGGGCCAGGGCTGACCCTGAGCCACAGATGGGGACCCAGGCGAGAGTCAGCCTGGCTGACCGGAGGCACTGACGTGGGCCAGACTGAAGGAGGCAGTGGGGCCAGGAGGTCTGAAGTCACCTCTGTGTTGGTCAGCGGTGTGTCCCTACCTGGACCGCCCTGAGGCCTGGGGAGGCAGCCCTCAGTTTCTCACCTGTGAGCAGGTGGTAATGAGCTCAGGCAGCCTCCCTAAAGGCTTCCATCCCTATCTCTGCCATGATCTGACACAGGATCCCACCGAGAGGGATGATCATGCCCAGGACAGCTGCCCTTGTCTAACGGAGAGGGGCGGGGAGAGCAGAGGAGGCTGGGCTCCAGGAGAACGCTGCAGAGCTGGGGCAGGCAGGGGGCAGGCGGGCCCAGGTCACGCTCGCCGTGCAGGGACTCTGCCAGCGCTGGGCCCTCGTCCCAGGACACAGCCTGTACACCTCCACAGAGCCTGCCTTTTACGCTCCAGGGATAGGACTGTTCTGTTCTCCAGGTTCCCAGCACCCAACTGCGTTCTTGGCCTCTGGTCAATGCTCAGTAAATATTTGTTGACAATAAATGACTGGGCCCTGGGCGAATGGTCTGCGCATCTCCAGCCAACTGTGGAGACGAGGGCAGGTGACATTTGTACAGCTTTTCTCACAGCTGGAAACTGGTTGGGCTGGGACTGTGCCCCATAAGCCTCGAGAGCAGGTGAGACACTGCAGGCCACTGGTGGAGGCACTTGGAACATACATACAGTGGGAAGGGAAAGGGAAGAGAACTCTAGTTTATTGGGCAGTTTACAGAGAGCCCTCATGGAATCCTCACACTCATCTCCATTTTCTCCACGAGAAGCTGGAAAGCTGGTAACATAAGTCACCAGTGAAACCAGCTCCAGCCCCAGAACAGAGGCTCTGAAGCCAATGCCCTCCACTGCCCCGTGTGACCCCAGGGCACTGAAGCACATGCTGGACTTCCCTCCAGAGGAAGGAAGGGTGGGCAGAGAGGTGGGGAGGAGCAAGGGTCCTTCAGAGGGTCAGGAAGGGCTGAGCACATGAACCACGTGGGAGAGAGGGAGGGGAGGGGTGGGGTGGGGCAGGCAGGAGCCACAGCCTCTCAGCACCTGCTGGCCTCTGGAAGTGAGGCTGTGGGTCTGCCTGATGCTGCCTCCCGCCTGTCCCTGCCCTGGTGCTCTGTCTCTGGAGCGCGTGGGTGAGGTGTGTGCAAATGAGTGCCTGTCCCAGGCTCTCGGGCTGCCCTGGTCTGGCCTCTGTGCGGAGGGCTGAAGGTGTGATGGGACTTGATCACAGAAGGGAGGGCGGTTCTAGCTGCCAGTGGCTTCCTCCCAGTGCGCTGAGACCCACCTTGCTAGCACTGCCCCCAGCGGTCCTGCAGGACCCGACAGACGGTCAGTCTTTCCAGGGTTGGTGGCTTGGCGGCCGCTGGACAGTGAGAACAGTGCTTGTGCCCCTCCAGACCGCTGCTGCCCCTCACTCCCATT